CGAAGTCCGATCCAAAGACAAATCACAATGTGAATTCCCCCCAGTGGCAAGTAGTCACTGGGGCTTAACCCTAACCTAATCAGACAGCTGCTGGGCAGCCAATAGTCTAACTAGCGAATAGGATCACACCCAGGATATCCAACCTAATCGAACACTTGGATACCTTCTTGGGAGGGGTTCAGGGGTTATGCGAATGGCAAATTCGCAACAGGATGTCATACCAGTATAGTATCAAGAATAAATTAGTTAGAAATCTGCACACGTCAACATAATATTAACACTAACATGGTCACAGCCAACGCCTAGCGAACAAGTACCACGTGCCTCAGATCGCACAAAAATCAAATCTGAAAATTGTCAGTGCACTGATCTGAGGAAATCGCAGATTCGAATTCTCAGGCATTTTTGGTAGTTCTCTCGAAATTTCCATAACGTTATTCGATTGGTTGAATCGAAGAAAGGGGGGGTTTCAGAACCGATCAAAACCTCTGTTTTCGTATAATTTTCTATATATATAGAGGTTACGTTGAGCACGAGACGGTGCAATTCGAAACTTGGCCATCGAAGCGAACGCCGACACCACCATCACCGAAACTGGACACCATCACCGATATCGGTAGGTTCAAGGAAACTAACGCCACAGGGCACTCCCATCGAGAGCAATCACGTCCGCACATGTAACCCGAAATGCAACCGTACTACAGTAGTATTTGATTGTTGTTGCTCCCGTCTGCTAATCACGACTGTGTTATCCTCGGACTTACTTAACTGTGAGCTTACGTACCGGTAGACTTGAGGTAACATGTTTCATGAAACATGAGAGTAGTACATGTTTGCATGAGAACCCGATACTACAGACGAATAGGCAGTGGTAAACTGTGTCGGCAATCACGCTGTCATGTCGCCGCGACTTTCAGTTCCTGCTGTTCATTTCCCAGACTCAGGGAAGTACTGTTTGATTGGCTGAATTAGGGTATTTTTGGCGAATCAAATCGTGAGGTCTATTTATTGCCACTTCGCGTCACAGGGTCAAACCACCCCAAAACGGCAAATTTTACCGGAATTCACAATATCACACTTACAATTAATAACCTACTAGTATATCTTTTTATAGTATTCATTTGACTTTTATAAAGCAAAGCTTATATGAATACTGTACGCTCAAATACTGAGTATAACATTTTGAAATAACCCTAATCCCGAAACCCTGGATACCTTCGGGGTGTTCCCGAACTTCCCAGCTACCCCGGCTCTCCCCGGGTTCCCTGAGTTGCCCGTCATCCCCCACACCATGTGTGCTCCGTCGGTGATCTTTGCCCCATTGACGTCAAGACTCCGAAACAACCCTCGATATCATATTATTGTGAGGCTTAACATCATCACACTAGTTCTAGCTAGTACTACGTAGTACATGACACGTGGATTCTACAGTATTGCATCGAATTTCAAGGTTTCCACTCAGCTGAGTACAGTACCATACCAACGGTGCATTGACCGTAAAGTACAGTAACACTACACCGAACGTTATCGACTTGATGGTGAAGGGACTATTACTTGTAGTAGTTTGACGTACAGAAACCTACACTCGACTGGGCCACGCAAAAAGACGGAAGTGAATAGGTTATATTCTACGAGTACATGCTTATAGGAACAAACACAAGCAAAACATAGGTTAATGGGGACAGCTGGGATACACTGTAGCTGGACATGTCGACAAGCCACCAAAATGTATGAGGTAGTTACTACACTATAGAAGTATTACCTTCAAACACAAGATACATTGTCTTTCCGAAACATTAACACCACAACTCTCTAGTTGCCACACCACAACGTTCCATATTCAGGGCAGTAGTATTCGCAGTCGTCCTTGGAGAAATCATCCAAGCAGTAGTCGGCGCCAGGATAGTAGCAAACGCCACACGTGGTACAACCAGGCTTGGGGTAGGCAGTCGTGGGTCTCATCGTGGTTATGTTAGGCATGGTTGTAGGTTTGGTCGGGCCAGGGGAGGCAGTCGTGGGCTTCTTCGTGGTCATGCTAGGCATAGTGGTAGGTTTGGTCGGGCCAGGGGCTGAGGTGGGGGAATTCTTGAGGTACGGCTCAATGAAATCGCGAGCCATGGAGATGCGACCGTACACGCCCGGCTTGTTTTTCTCGGCACACCCAAGCCCCCAGCTGACCACCCCCACCAACTTTGCAGAACCGCCGGTTTCCACCGTCAAGGGTCCACCAGAGTCGCCTTGGCACGAATCTTCTCCCACCTTGCCGCCGGCGCACAACATGCTGGCGTCGATGGAGGGCCCAGACAACCACTTGGCGCACTGTTGGTTGCTGACTGTATCCACCCCGACTTCCAACAAGACCTTGGACACAGACCCGCCCGAAGACGTGGAGCCCCAGCCACGCACAACCGTGGGGGTGTCGGCTGCCACAGTGTCAAAGGACACTTCCACGGCCGGAAACTTGGAGTCGCGCTCCAAAATCAACACGCCAATGTCGTACGCGTTGTTGCCGGCGTTGTTCTTGGGGTGCTTGATCTCTTGCTTGATCTTGATCTGCTCGCCGTCCTTGGTGCCGCTGTTGTAGTGCGACCCAATGGCCACATATTTGAGGCCAAGGCCCATGCAGTGGGCGGCGGTCAAGACGACATTTGAGGCGATCAAGCTGCCTCCGCACGAGTCGGTTCCAGAGGCGGAGGAACGAATTCCTGTCACGTACAAGTGCTGGCCAACGGCGGCTTCCTTGCCCCCGACGATTTGGAGTTGGGCGGCGACAGAGGCGAAGAGCGCAGACAATGCAAAGGCGACTTTCATGGTTAATTGGAAGATTGATGAATGACACTCGGGAGCATGGGGGCTGTGTGGGATCCACGTATTGACATGAATGCCATAAAATCAGATGAAGCAGATCAGATAGATGAAGCAGATGCTGGGATGGGTAGAGAAGTCTGTAAATAAAAGTGTCTACGTTTGTGAGTCTGGATATTTCAAGAACATGGTGAGCTGCTTTCCGGAGGTAAGTTGGACGTACGATGATGGCAAGTTGTTTGCTTTACATTAAGCTGTGCTTTGAGTCACCGAGTACAATAGTCAAATGTGACGTCCACCCTTAATATGCATACAGTAATAGGGCATGTTGGTGAAACAGTGAACAACGTGAGTTGCTGTCTGCGCACTATTACGACCTACGGCGTACTAACTTAAGTGTAAGTACTAACAATATAACTTGCTTTTTCTCAGGTAATGTATCCACGAATGGATTGAACCAAGTGTGATGTTCTTGAAATTATATCCAAATCCGGATATAATTTCAAGAACATCTACGTGAACTTCAGGATGCTACATGTAGGACGTAGAGTTTATTCGTTGGGTAAGTACAAACGGATCTCTATGAGTATATTCGTTGGGTAAGTACAAAACGGATCTCTATTCGTAATATAAGTACAAGTTGTCCAAGCTATCAGTTACTGGTACTACTATGTAGTACGTGCTACCTTTGTCCAAGGATGATTGTACTGAGATGAAAAACTGAACTTCCTCACTTCCGATTGGCCAAGTTGTCCAAGCTATCAGTTACTGGTACTACTATTGTATTACCGTAATAGTACGTACTATGGTGCACTTCATCTAAAAACTTCCAACTGGCCAAATTGAAGAGTGGAGGTTTTATTATTTAACGTGCAATTAATGTAGTTAAACCCAAAATCCAGATACGTTAAATACCAATTGCATGCGTTTTATCACTCGAGTGGGAGGTTAAAGGTC